AGATCTTGGAATCCTCCCTGCCTGAAACTTGAGGCAGCAGCAGCAGCAAGAGAGAGAGAGAGAGAGAGAGAGAGAGAGAGAGAGAGAGAGAGAGAGAGAGACTGATTGCAACATTAATTATGCATTTTCAAAAAATCCGACAGTTCAGGGGAAGCGGGCAAGGGAAGGAGTAAAGTGCCCACTGGCTCCTTAATTGTGTTTAATTTCTCCACGGAGGCAACGCAGGACTTCCTTCTTGGCATCCGGCGGCTGTGACAACTCCTGCCCCCCTTCCGAAGGCACCCATGGCTCCCAAGGAGACTCTGCTGCTCTTCCTCATCTGCCTCCCGTTTACCTGCGTGCTGCCCAGCAAAGGTAAGGCAACCTGGACGGACATTTCGCTCAGCCGTGTCTGTGGTGCATGTCTGGGTCAAGCCCTTGTCGGGAGACCTGCGGCGGGTTCCGTTGGGAGAGGTGGATAAAGTCCTGTTCTGATCAGCAGGATGTCTGAGGCTGTTGGCGCTTCTCGGTCCCGTTTTGCACCTTGCGTGCTGATTATGGAAGAGCATCGATAGGCAGTCGTCGTCGTGGCCGCTGGGGAGGAGCCGTGGCTCCGTGAAAGATCATCTGCTTGGCATGCGGAAGGTCCCAGGTTCAGTCCCCGGCGTCTCCAGTTAAAGGATCAGATAGTAGGCCATGGGAAAGACCTCCGCCTGAGACCCTGGAGACTCACTGCCAGGCTAAGTGTGGTGTCGTGGTTAAGTGCGCGGACTCTCATCTGGGAGAACCGGGTTTGATTCTCTACTCCTCCACTTGCACCACTGGATGACCTTGGGCAAGCCATAGTTCTGATAAGAGCTGTTCTTGAAAAAGAGCAGTGTTGGTCAGAGCTCTCTCAGCCCCACCGACCTCACAGGGTGTCTGTCGTGGGGAAGGGAGTTTGTAAGCCTCTCTGAGACTTCTTGGGGTAGTGAAGGGTGGGGTATAAATCCAGTCTCTTCTTCTTCTTCTAAGTGGACAAAACTGTCCTTGATACACCAAGGGTCTGATTCAGTAGAAGGCAGCTTCATGGTGGGGTAAACAGGGTGCTCTGAGGGTAGCCCAGGATAGCCTCATCTTGGAAGCTCAGCAGGGTCAGTTGTGGTTAGTACTTGGATGGGAGACCCCCAAGGAAGCCCAGGGTTGCTACGCAGAGGCAGGCAAGGGCAAACCATCGCTGAACATCTCCTGCCTTGGAAACCCCACAGGGTCACCATAAGCTGGCTGTGAATTGACGGCACTCTCCACCACCAGTCAGGAGGGCTGGAACAGCTGAGATGAAAGAACAGCCACCCCCTTGCAGAAGATGACCTTAGAATTTGCTACAAGGCACTGTGGTGGGCGGCCCCTGGCTTGGAGGGCTTTGAGTGGGTTCCAGACTCATTCATTTCAGAAAGGGCTTTCAATGGCTAGTAGCCACAGAGAACCTCCAGGCCTGGGCACAGTGTACCTGTGAGTATCCGATGCAGGAAACGAACAGCCAAGGGAGGCGATTGCCGTCCTCCTGTGCTTGTGAGTTTCTCCGGGGATAGTTGGCTGGCTGCAGCTGGACATGAGATACTGGTCTAGATGCCACCC